CTAGTTGCAAATTGTAATCCAAGAGATTCTGTGTACTGTCTTTTGGTCCAATAAGTAATATCTCGGTCTTATCTGAATTTAATAGGAGAAAATTATTGGTCATCCAATCTTTTACATTTTTAACACACTGAGACACAGAAAGACCGGAGAGAGAGATAGCAAGATATATTCCAGCACTATCTGCCCCTCTGGTGTCTCAGTAGATCAGCCGACATGAAGTGTAGTCAAAAACAGCTGGAGCTTTTAAAAATGAGACTTCTTGGTCTAATTATCTTACAAATAAATGCAATTATCCATATTTATTCAGGTTTTTATTTTTAATTCATTAACTTTAATTAGAAATGGGGTCGTCTTATAATCAGGGTCGTCTTATATTCGGGCAAATACGGTAGTTAAAGTTTCATGAACTGAGCATGAACAATAAAATATACAATTATCGGCTGATACCGATAACTTAAAATCTCTTAATATCGGCCTAAAATCAATATAATCTGATTCCAGCAACTTAAAATATCTAATATTTAATATATAACTGATATGGTATCAATATCTATTTATCTAAGTGAACGTGTGCACGTCTGTAGCGTTATGTTTCACTCTAATTCCTTGTCCTAAATCACCATTTCTTCTTCTTCTTAAGACACCTTACGTTTCTTATGTAAGTCTGTATATTACCATATTTTGCAATGCTTTGTTTACATCTTCAACTTTTTTTGAGTGCTTTTTTCCTTCTGTAATTCTTCTCAGCTGGACAGGATTGATTGCAATCTTTATGCCTCTTGGCATTACTCTCTCTCTCTCTCTCTCTCTCCATCTCTGTGTTTCTGGATGAAGAGGAGAATGCATTTAGATGATTGTCTCTGACACCTGTGCAAATGGACATCAAAGCGCTTTTCATCTGCTCTGTGTTCTACATTCATGACACACGAAAAAATCACATCTTATGGCCAATAACAAACAAATGGCAGATAACAACAAATGGCTTTCAATAATATTTTGTCTGAATAAATTAAAATAAAACACTAAAAAAAGACTTGATGTAAATGCTACAAGTGAATTTAGGCATCAAAATATATATAAAAAAATAAATATACATTTTGAGATTCACTCAATATTACCGTATTGTCCCGAATATAAGACGATGTTTTTTTCTTGGAAATACATCTGAAAAAATGCGGTCGTCTTATATTCAGGGTCTAGACTTTGACATGTCAATAATACACCCACAACACTAGGTGGCGCCAAATACGTATAAAACGAGTGTGCCATGAAATACGTAATGTAATGCGTGTTGTAAAGATCGCGAATAAAAACAAAAGAAAAAGAAAACCTTACAGCTGCATGAATCCTGACTGTCACGTTAGCATGATGGGACCAAACTTTCTTTGTGATTTTAAAACGTAAGACAGTACCCAGATTTGAAGACTACAGTAAGATTTAACTTCTACTCTTAATAAGATTTTGGTAGGCTACTATTAGATGGATAGCCCCTAATGTCCTAATTCAGATGGGCTACCAGTTTTTTTTATTTTTTTTTATGGTATATCAAAAAGTGTATATTTTTTAAATGTGATTGTTGGTACATTTGACCAGTTTTTACCATACCTTCAAAACAAAAATTAAAATAGGAAAAATATGCAATATGAAAATAATTGAAGACAAAATGTGTTTTACTGAGAAAAAACAAGATTTGGGTTTTAAAAAGCCTTTTTCCAAAAGGTACATCTGGAAAAAGGGGGGGTCGTCTTATAATCAGGGTCATCTTATATTCGGGCCAATACGGTATAAATAATAATAAAAAGCTAACCGTAACATCCAAGCAGAAAACACAACAGTGCATTTCTGTTCAGTGAAGTATAAAATTGCCTTTATTACAATCACAATCAAAAATATCTCCATTTGAAGTGGACTTTGAGCTTTGTAACTTTGCAGATCTTTTTTATGCTCAAACAGCAACATTACAGACTAACTAAAGTTGAAAAAGACCTGTGCAAATGGACATCAAAGCGCTTTTCATCCACTCTGTGTTCTACATTCATGACACACGCAGAACCCACAACACATCCTGAGCTCAGACAAACATGCTGCTTTTAGCCGCCTTTGTATAAACTGCTCACACATGCAGACATACATGTGCTGTCACATCAAACATGCTTTTATACATGCACAATATCTTTAAGCAGTTATCTCGGCTCCTTCCACCTCTTTCTTTCCCCTTCACAGATGTAAAGAGATTCACAAGAGGTCACCCACGCATGCTCGCTCTCTGTCTGGAGGATCTGTCCACTTCCTCTCTCGTCCTCCCACTCAATCCCTCCATCCTCGTCCTCTGCTGCTGAATGCAGATGATTCTTATTCATTTATCCCTCCCTCCCTGTTCCCCTCTCTCTTTTCCCACATTTTGCTGTCAATCTTGAGTGGCAACAAATGAATGGATGAATCAAGTGAGTCACTTAGCATGTTAGCAAACTGATTCTGCACACTAATGTGCCTTTAAACTCGAGACTCAGATAAAGCCATGTAAGAGCCACATGTTGTGCAGCCTGAAGCAAAACAACAGAAATAGAGCAGACTTGAATTGCTTTAGTTCCCTGTACCTTTGAGCTTTCATTCTGCCATGTGAAGCATCGTGTCAAATGAGACAGAACAACCTAAAATCCTCAGCTATGAGAACAAACCTCATATGACTCACAGTCTGTTCCCTCTCATTTTGCTTTCAGGCACAGATTATCTTTCAAACCTTTTTTGGCACAAATGGGTTACAAACCATAGCATTTATCTTCTGCACTGATTAGTGTAAAACTTTAGTATACACTACCATTCAAATGTTTTAGGTAAGTAGGTTATAAAAAATAATATCAAATGAACATAAATTAATACTATATACATATAAATTAATACATTTATTCAAGGTTGAATTACAATCACAATGTTACAAGACTTTTCAAATAAATGAAAGTTTATAAGTGAAGAATGTATCACTGTTTCCTCAAAAATATTAAGCAGCACAAATGTTTGCACAAACATTGATAATAATAAGAAAAGCTTCTTGAGCAGCAAATCAGCATATTAGAATGATTTCTGAAGGATCATGTGACACTTAAGACTGGAGTAATGATTCTGAAAATGTAGTTTTACCATCATAGGAATAAATTACATTAAAAAAGAATATACATTCATATATTAATATATATGTTATATATTAAAATTTAAAACAACTACTTTAAATTGTAATAACATCGCACAATATTACTGTTTTTACTTTGATCAAATAAAAGCAGCCTTGGTGAAGATAAGAGACTTCTTCAAAAGCATTTCTATCATGACAACTCTGAAGATTTTAGCATGGTAGTGAACATGACAATGTTAATGTATTCGGTCTTGGTGGAATAGATCTCCTACACTGCTAAATTGCTGCTGCTGTTGGTTATTGCTGTTGTTGTAGATTATTGCTGCTGCTGCTGCAAAGCAAGTACAGGAACTTGCTACTGCCAATACATAGGCCGATACGGTGCTGTGAGTATTTTTGTCATACTGCTGCTGCACAAATAGCATATACAGTATAATAACCCGTAGCAGATCTATACAGGTGGAGCTGGGGAAGGTGGAGGTTTTCAGAGAATCTCTGAAATGCTAACCAGCCATTTAAATGTAAAGCAGCAAGCTTATTGGCTGCGTATGCAACATGAACCAATCAGCTGGTGCCAAGTAGTTTAACGCTGTGAATATCATCACTTTGCATTAGGGACCCATCAGCTTGTGCCATCTAGAGATTCATGACAGAACTTGGCATTTAAAAATCTTACCGACCCCAAACCTTTGAACAGTAGAGTACCATCATCAGGGGAAGAACTGACACATATGTAGTTAACACACTGATTTTGTGTAGAAAGCATCCTAAAATAAACCACACAATGAGACAGAATAATTCAGTCCAGTGGTTTGTTCTGAATATTTTACTATGGTGTGTGCAGCTAAAACGGCATGTCCTTGATGGATTTTATGATAGGATGTTCAGACTCATCAGACCTTTTTTGCCCAGATTATACCTGGGCGACAGCTGTACTGTGAGATCTCCATGGCCAACTCATACGCTGTGTGCCCTGTCTGCGCATCATATCCTGTGGTGCTGTTCTTTTCTGTTAGTGTGTGTCACACTCTACTAGCTCAGCACCTTCTCTGCCTTCTGCCTGACAACAAAGACTCACACACACTGCTGAACAGTGTATTGATGAGTTGCTTCCATCTGGACCTTGTGCACATCAACCTTCATAAATGTCAGAGGAGGGGAGCACAATGATCTCTAGACAATATTTACACATCTTAAAAGTTAACAGGAAGAAGTTTGTGAATTTTTAATATGACAGTTATGCTCAGAGGAAGAAAAAAATCACAATGGAATGAAAGGAGACTTTTGGTTAAGTATCTTGTTTCCCAGCAACATTTTTTATTAGTTTGTTTGCTTGCTTTCTTTTTTAAATTTTTTTTTTTAAATATGAACTCAAACATTAAGTTACATCTTGTAATTTGGTCTTTGGAGTGTTTGTGTTTTAACGCTATCCACATTATTTATATTGCTCTATATTTTTACTGTACTGTATTACATTGTCTCATTTCTGTCTATTTTTATTTCTCCCAAGAAATATTAGAAGAACATCTAGAAAACACTTGATACTTAACTGAAACATCACTGAGAACTCCATAAAGTCACATGAGCTATAAAAAGAGCAATATCTTTGCAATATCAGTGTCTGTTAAATGGAAAAACATTTCTCTCTCTCTAAATATATCTCTAACTCACCCCATCACCAGAAAACAGCATCAGTGATTCATTTCCCTTTAATTGTGTGTGTGTGTGTGTGTGTGTGTGCGTGCGTGTGTAAGTGTGTGTGTGTGCGTGTGTGTGTGTGTGTGTGTGTGTGTGTTGTGATGTACTGATGGCAGCCCACTATTTACCACCTACAATATGTTGCTTAGCCACACCTGAATTAGCTTGTGTGTGTGTGTGTGTGTGTGTGTGTGTTTGGAGAAAAAAAAATCAGCAAACAATAAACAAATGACTGGCTAGTTGCCTTGGAAACGGGGAGAGCATGCTAGTAGATTCAGGAGAATCAGAAAAGATGCAGAGAGAGGGATGAAGGGAGAGACACAGCCTGCAGACAAAGTCTTTTTTTGTGTGAGGGAAGAGAAAAAGCAAGAGATCAAAAGATCAGCTGATTAAACAATGTTTGCAAATATGTCACAAGGAAATTTTAAAGGAATAGGTCAACCATTTTTGCATCAACCATCCCTAAGAATTCCAGACTTAAATTTGCGATAAAACGGAAGTAGCAACAGATATTTCTTCCGTATTTTGATGTATGTCCCAGTGTAACAGGTTATCGCAAAAGAAAAAATGTTGGGTGGGCACTTGATTCTATCCATTGGTTGTTGATTGGATTTTGAAATGTGGTTACAACATTTAAGAAAAGAAGGCAAATAAATGTGAGCTTGCAGGGGTGGATTTAAGAGGACTGAATGATTGGAGAAGTCCAGCATACGTCACCAGAGAGAACCCTGTTATATCTTCAGAGGGACATGTTGATCGAACATTACAAGGTCAATAAAAAAAATTATACTAATAAAAAATTGGACACATACATGGGTGTATATGGATACATGGTTGTTCACAATAATATCAATAACTTATATGCATTTAGAAAATAGATTTTTATTTCATACCAACCTTAAGATAATTGAAGATGGAGAAGATGAAAAGAAACAACGAAAGAATAAGAAGAAAGAAGGGGAGCTGAGGAGAATAGAGGAGAAAAGAAGGATGGGAGGGTGAAGGAGGCTGTTGGGTCTCTCGCAGGCTGGCATGAACCGCTTCCTCTCTCATCATTCATCCTGGACTTGGAGTGGGGGGGGTGGTCTGATTTTGCTTAGATTGTGAGAACCAAAAGTCCCCACAAGGATATTAAACCCTGAAATTACCTACATTGTGGGAATCACAACAAAACAGCTTAATAAACATATTAAATAACAGAATTGTATTGAAAATGTCTGTGAGGGTATGGTTTAGGGTTAGAAGACAAAAATCATTAACTCAGTATGAAAACAATATAAGCCAATAGAAAGTCCCTATTATAACTGAGAGATGTGTTTGTGTTTTATTTGTGTAGGTATTGGTCTGTGTGACTGTGCAGTAGTAGGAGAGATGTTTAAACTCCGGAAATGAGAGTGTACAACGGGGGCTAGAGACAAAAATGAAATTGACTGTGAGCTATTAATAGAGCCTTTATCAGTAGAAATGAGGAGAGAGAGAAAAGAGGAGAATGTGGGAGGCCTACAGCACAATGAGAAACAAATGTATTATTCTAATCTGATAAAGAATCTCTCTACAGAGAAATTATTCCTTTTCCCTCAATTTCTGATTCAATCTCTCATTCTGTGATCTTCCCATCTCCCATAGCTCCAATTATAAAGATGCCTCCTCTGCGACGGTTGGGAAGGTTCGGGATCTGGCATCATTTCGGCGTCATTTCCGAATGGGATTTATGACGATGCCGGCGTCCCAGGACCTTTCGCCTCACTCTTGTGCGGCCGCCATGGCCCCACGCTCTCAATCCTGCCATGCTATGGGCACCGGTGAGGGAGAGGAAATGGAGAATGGATATTATCCAGACTCAGACCCCCAAAACCAGTCAAATACCTCCCGCTGTCCTCCAGCCAAGCCTAAACGCCACCCCAATACTCGTCTCAGCTCCACACCCCAGCAGGAGCATCTTTCCCGGGGGGTTCACGCACCACCTGATACTCCGCCACCTCCACCTCCCAATCACCCACCCAAACACCCAGAGAAGCGGAATGGTTAGTGAGCACAACTCTTGCGACATGGGAAGTCTTTGAGACATGCATAGTTCTAGTCTCATCAATCATCTAGTCAATGTTAAATTTAGGGATGTGAATCAATTTTAAAAAATGATTCTTGACCTGGGACAATTCTTGTGTAGAGGCAGTTCTCATAAACTGGTGTATTTCTGATGCTTCGAATATAGATAAGGAGCCATCTGACTCACATGTAACATGACTAATCATAGTTTACTTGTTTTTAAGTTCAGTTGTGGGTACATCTGAAAAAGATGGTACAACTGATAGAACATGAAACGCATGAACAGTATGATGTTTACTTGATACTAAATGTGTCAAAATAAATGGTTTTAAAAGATTTGTTGCCATGAAGCTTGAACTCAAACTTCAGTGTCTAGTTCTTAAGTATAAGCACTTATGATTCATGACTCATAAATCATCCATTGTTCTCTGACAGTATGTTTATGTTAGCCATTCATACATTTTTATTTGAATTGTTATGTAATTGATTTAAATCGAAGATTATTCTGAAGGATGATTACAATACTTAATGAATATTATTTTCCAGCACAGGAAATTATTTTATTCATAAGATAAAATCTAAGAAAGCAGCATCTCTTGTATTTTAGTATTATTTTGATACAATATGAAAAAGAAAAGGTGATTTAATAATTGCTTTGCACCAAATAATAAATTCAACATGGTTAAAGAAATATGTTGCAAACATTAACATCTCAGTATCTTAAATATTATATTTATACAGTATTTATTTAAAAACAGGTTGTCTACATTGGTCACAGAAATTACCCCCCCCCCCCCCCCCCC